GCTCCTCCCTTGGGTGGGGCATCCTGTGGGAAACAGAATGATGGGCACTTCTGGCATCCGGGAGTGTGAGGCCTGCAGACTGGACCAGGCCAGGTGAGGCCCCAGCATCGCCGAGGTAGGGGGGCTACCACAGGGGAGCGAGTGTGTGCATTCCCATGCTGAGACAGGAGTGGCTAGAAGCAAATCACCACAAAGGCCAGGGTGCTCCCTTGTGGTGGTTGTCACTGGGGACAGAGTGGACTGGGGACATTGCTGCCTGTCACAGAAGGGCTCTGCTCGGCCTCTAAAGTACAGGCCTGCCATGGTCCCTTTCTGTCTCAGGCTGTGGCTCAGCATTCCTCAGTAACTCCCCAGTGCCCCTGCCCCACCCCAGGACAGGATATCAGGAGTCCTGCTCACCTGGCCCACCTGGCCCACCTGAGCCCTTGTGATCCCAGGCACCAGGGCCCCACCCCGGCACCTTCCCCATGCTGCTCTCTCTGCTGTTCTGTCCTCAAGGTGCTTGGTTCCCAGCTCCTTGCCCAGGGCTCCTACGGGTCCCCCAGCAGCCTTTGAGTCCCCTCATCTTCTTCCTGTGGGAGCTCAACTTGGAGGAATTGTGGCTGGTCCAAGTTGGTCAGGACATCTCTCTTTCCTACTGGAAACTGATTGGGCAAAGGGCTTGTGGTCCAATTCTGGTCAATCAGAGGAATCTACTGGGGCATATGTGATTGTCACTCCTGAAAATAATGAAGTGGCAGGGAAGAAGAGGCCTCCCCAGAATGTCTTGAGTATCTGGCGATGTGATGCCTGGAGGGGAGGCAGCCACTTTGCAAACCTGAGAGAGTGACAGCTGAGTTGGGGTAGCTGGGGAAAGCAGGACAAGAAAGAATGTCATGAAATTGTTGGGGTCACTGTCTCCCCTGGCTCCCTCAACTGGGATGTTTTTGTGCATCTCATTGCAGCCACATGGTGACTTCTGGGTCTCAGACACCCACAGTGTGCTGAATGTGAGGCTGGATGACCAAGCCTTCATCACCCCCACAGTACACAGCCTGCTGCACTGATCAGAACACAAGCTAAGTTTGGGTCCAGTGCCACACTTGCTCACTCTGGACTCATTGCTCCTTCCCACAGCCTCAGTTTGGCCCCCAAAGTTGGGTACATGGATTTTTAGTTTAACAGGGACTCTCAGAGGTAGCATGAGTGGGTTAATGTGCAGCAATCCCATTCTGGACACTGCCTGAATCCTTGGGCAGCCTGATCAGAGCTCTGTGGCCACCTGTTTAGGAGCCCATGTCACCAGCAGATTCACATTGGAAGCTGGCCTCAATCCACACTCTTGCAGCTCTGAGTTGGTGGGAACAGTCAGAACTCTTGGGTGGACAGAGACAGAAAATCCAACTCAAAGTGTCACAGAAAGTGTCATGAAGTAGGGAGAAAGATCCGAGAAATGGAAAGGGTCAATGGCAGATGGCATCAAGTAAGTGTGCACCTGGGTGCTGAATGCCTGCTGTCAGCAGGAGTCCCCACCTTCGGACCTGCTCATGGCCCTTGGTGCTGATGTCCTTTTCTGTGAGAGCTCTGCCTTCAAGATGACAAGGTGGACACCAAATGTCCCAGCAACTCTCCTACATGGTTCCAAGCTTGAGGCCTGATGTAGGACAACTGATTGGTCACATGCTCAGACTTTAGCCAATCACTGTGGCCAGAGAGGATGGTCTTTGGTGATTGGACAGATTTCAGTCATGTGACCTCCATCTCCACAGTGCTTGGAGGGCTACTTACTCTGTTTCCAGGTGGGGGCTGCTGTGATGTCAGAGCAGATTTCAGGGTGGAGCCACTGCATCCTCTGTGCCTGATTTCCTGGGCTGTTCCTGCTCACACCCTCCTCCCACACCCACTGTCTTCATGCACAGAGGCATTATGACCGTGCTTTTTTCCTTCCAAGGCCCCACTTCACCCCCAAAATATAGCAAGACTTCCTGTGTGAAGGTCAGATTGGGGATTCGGTCCCAGTTTCTAGGCCTGCTTTTTGGGTGGCAATGCAGCCGGTCAGTCAATAGACATCTTCGGAGTGACTGCCAGGGCATTGCCAGATGAGGAACCCAGGGGTCATCAGAACTGCTGGCCTTCCTAACTTGAAGGAGCTGACACTCTCTGGTGGAGAGTACAAAATTTTCAGAAGACAGAGGGTGGTGGGATTACCTGGGGTAATGGATCAGAGAGGTCCATGGAGGTGCAGGGTATGTGCAGAGATGGACACTGAGAGATGGAGAGGCTGGAAAAAGTAGGTACAGGTCATGTGGCCCTCAGATGGACAGTGTCCCAGCTACTGAGGCAGGAGCAAGCATGAGGTTCACAGAGAAAGCGCTGATACTTATTTCTTGTCAAGGGCCAGGCAGTGGACGTTCTGGGCTTTGAGGACCAACCATGTGCTCTTTGCCACTACTACTCTAGTCTGTCATTGTCATTGTAAAAAAAAACCACCAAGGACTGCTGGGAACATAGCTCAGTGGCCTGGCCTGTATGAGGTCCAAAGTTTCATTGCCAGTACTGCAAAAAAAAAGAAAAGAAAAGAAAAAGAAAAAAGAAATCCAGTGATAACATGGAGATATTGGGTATTGATGTGCTCCAGTAGAACTTTGCTGTGGATACATAAATAGTACATTAATATAATTTCCACTTGTCCTTTAGTCGTGCTCTTCTTTTGACTTTTCTCTTCTGTTTTCCAGTGTAAAAATGCAGCTTGGTAGCCCTGCAAAAGTAGGGCACAGGCTACGGAGGTGCACAGTGCTCTCTATAGAAGCTAGAGAAGGTGGCTGGTGAGGGGCAGGACAGTGGGGGTCAGCAGCAGCCAGAGATAGGGCCAAGAGGAGAAGTTGCCCATTCACCTTGGAGGCTGCCATCCTCCAGGCATGGGGCGTGACAGCCTTGGGAAATGCCCGCATAGGGTTCCAGAACCCATGGTGGAGCCTCCCAGGAAAAGGGGTGTGGCTGAGCCAGTGTCTGGATGCAGCTCCAGTCCCACTCAGACACCCACTGTGTGGCCCTCAGTGAAACACTTCCTCTATGGGCTTCTGCTTTCTTGTTATCAAAACAGGGCACTGGGCAGGAAAATGAGCTCCCAGAACCCTCTTGGGTGTGCCAGCTGTCCTTGGTCTGCACACATCTTCCTCTGAGTCTGACATTCAGCACCATGGAGAATGAGCAAGGCTCCCAGGATGGGGCTGACCTGGCTGAGTCCACAGGCACATGATTGGGAGTCTCAGTTCTTCCTACTTTGTGGCTCCCAAGGATACCCAGGACAAAAGATCTGGGCTTTCTGTCTCCCTGAGGCCCCCAGGCTCTGTGTTCCCATTGAGCTGCCAAATCCTCCTGCTACTACATAACATCTCCATTGGGCTGAGGAGAGTCTGAGCTCTCCCATGGCCTCTGCCAGGCATGCTGAGAGGGAACTGTGCAGAAGCCATGAGGTGAGGAGGAGAGGACAATGTGCTCATCCACAGAGCCAAGCCACCATCCACCTCCTCCTCCCCACCCTTCTCGTCCCCTTTCCCGATCTCCACCTCTGTCCCAGCAAAAATGGGCAGTGCATTCTGGGAAGAAGAGGGATCCTGATATGCGGTGGGGCATGGGAGATCTGTGATGGTTTCCATCTAAAATGGCTCCAAAGCCATTTTTATTGGCTTAAAATGGGGCGGGGGAGGTTGGTGCTGTAGCTGGGGAAAGGTCTTGCTGTTAGGAGGCTGTGTCTGGTCAGAGGAGGTGGGCCACTGGGGGCACTGCCTGGGAGGACAGATCTCCCTTCCCAGCTCCCTTCTCCACTCTCTCCTTCTTGACCACCATGATGCAAGCAGCTTTCCTCTGCCCAGACCCTTCTGCTATGCTGTTCCTGTATGTGGACTGCCACATGTGGGTCCTCACTTCTGAAATGTGAGCCAAAATAAATGTCTCCTCCTTTAAATCATAGATGTTGGGTGTTTCATCCTGGTGACAAGGAAAGTGAGTAACAGGATCACTCTGAGGCATGCTCAGTGAGGAGGGCTTTCACTCTCTTCTGGGTGAGCCCTGTTTGTTCTCGTATTTGAACACTGGAAGACATGAATGAATCCTTCTGGTCACCACTATCTAGAATTTGGTGTTTATCATCCTCTTGCTTTTAGATTTGTTATAATGCCTAAATAGAATGCTGTTTGGTTTGTGGCTGAGGTTTCAGCATAGAGAAGCCAGGAGGCTGCCCACCCAGCATTGGGAGTAGGGAGGATTTGTGAATGGTGGGTGGGCAGCAGGGGGCAGGGCTGGTTGCAGGAGACTGAAGGTACAATAGAGGCACAAGGGGAGAGAGGGTAGGGAATGATTATCTAAGAGGTGCAGGATTTCTGTTGGGAAAATTTTAGAGATGTGGGTCTGGTTTCATAACAATGTGAATGTGCCCAATGTCCTTGAAGTGTACAATGCAACATGATTAAGATAGTGAATTTTATGCTACATGTAAAACCCCAACTAGAAATAAAGTTAAAAAAACGATTTCTAGGGGTGGGGTGTGGCTCAGTGATAGAGCAGCTGCTTGGCATGTATGAAGCCCTGTGTTTGGTCTTAAGCATCAAAAAGAAAAAAAAAAACTATTTACAACTTCCCCCCAAATATTTTCAAACAAAACAACCCACTTTTAAATGAGAAGCGACTAAAAAACCAGTCACAATGGAAATAAAGAATATTTCAGACTGAACAGTAAAAACGCAGCATTTTAAAACTTTGAGGGAAGCCAGAGAATCAGCCCTTAGTGGAAATCGATAGTCCGTGTGGTGGCTAATAGTCAGTGGCATCTTGACTGGGCCGGGCTACACAGACGGTGGGTGAAGCATCTCTGGGTGTCTGTGAGTGTTTCTGGAGGAGATGAGCACTGGATCTATAGACCGAGCCAAGCAGATTGCCCCTCTAGTGTGGGCAAGCCGTATCCAATCAGTTGAGGGGCTCAGCAGAGCTCTGACATTGCTTCCTGTCCTCGGTCTTTGCAGAAATCTCTTCACATAGGAGTTCGCCCTTCAGCACCACGGACAGCGACCAGGTGCTTCCCAGCAAGGGACTGACTTGCGCCGTCCACAGCCATGAGGTATCCATTCTTGAGCCTTCTTCCTCATGCTGCCCAGGACAGCGAGCCCAGGGACCTGGGCTGTGTCGGTGAGGTTCCCAGGCTCAGTGTTTGTATCGGGCTGCCAAATGCTGCAGATGGTGCTACAGAACACCTCTGATGGGCTGAGTGTGAATCCCGAGCGCTCCCACTTCTGCAGGGAAGCCTAGGCCCCTGAGAGGGAAATACAGGAAGGCCACATGGTGGGGAGGAAAGGAAAGGACCCCACCTACCTTCTGCCTCCAACCTTTCCCTGTTTCACCTGAAGTGGGCAGCGGGGCCTGGGGAGGGTAGAGATGTGTGGATGGGTGGGGACTCTCTGAGGCAAGCCCGCTGGGGAGGTTTCATTCTTTCCTGATTAAGCCCTGTTTCTCTTCATGGTCGAACACTTGGGGACATGAATGAATTTCCCTAGTCATTCTGTCAATCATTTGTCAGTTCATTCACCTGCTCTACATTGTATCAGTTTATTCATTCTCTCTTTAATGTGTGCTTTCTCTATTTTTTTTTCTGTAATCAAAGGGGACATTTACTAGGAGAGCACAGGAAAAGAAGAATAGAGAAACAGAGTAGCAGTGCCTCACCGAAGCCAGGAGCTAGCACATGAGGCACCAGGCACCATGTCTGCTCCATCTCTCCTGCCAGCCTGCTACACGGCACCTCTCCTGCTTCTCACTATTCACCACTGCATCCTGCTGTCTTTCTGTCCCCTGGATTTTCTCCATGGCAACTGCCTGACCCTAGTCTTCAGTGCTGTCTTTGTTTTGCCAACAAAACAGAAACGACTTCCTGATTTTTCTCCTCACATCCTTACTTGCCAATTTACACCTCTTTATTTTCTTCACGACAGCCAGAGGAATTCTCCAACACTGGAAATGGTGTCCTATGCTTTCTCTCACTCCCGGGAGATGGACAATGAATTCTCAGCATGGTTTGGAGCTGGGTTGCTGCTCACAGATGCAGCAACCATTGTTGGAGGGCTCTCCCTGTCACAAGATCATGCTGTCTTGACCTTTGTGCCTCTCAGGCATGGCAAAGTTGTGGCCAATGACAAGTGAAAGAAATATGGTCCAGCGTGTGATTTCCTGATTTTCTTCCAAATTGAGGCCACTTTGCAGAAAGAGACTGTTTGCTCAACCTACTCATTACTTATCCATCCTCACTATTTTTTTTACTGCTTTCTGGTTATGGCCCGGTATTCTGACACAGCCCATAGGGTGTAGAGTTCAGCAAAGAATGGTCACAGGACTGGGCAGTCACAGGTGGGACCAGAGCAGCCTACAGAATGTTGTGGTGATCCAGACCCACATATAAACTGAGTCTCCAAGGAGCAGCCATCACTTGGCGAGGGCCTAGAACTGAGCTGGAAGCAAACCATGAGTTAATGAGTGATGGGATGAATGACTGAACGGATGAGGAGCTTGTCCCTTAGATGACCTAAGCAGGGAAGGCCCTCCTGAGGAGATGTATCAGTTAGGGTTCACTAGAGGAACAGATCTATCTATCTATCTATCTATCTATTATCTGTCTACTATCAACGGTCTATCATCTATCTATCTATATCTCTAGTCAAATATATGAAGGATTTACTAGGTAGGCTTAAATAACTGCCTATGGAATCAGGGGCAGAAGAAGGAAAAATGGCCATCTGTACTCTGGAGAATCGGAGCAGGTTAAAATCCTGGTGATCACTGCAGAGCCTGGGATGAGTCTGTATTGGGCAATCAAGGGGTCTGTGTTGGAAGGCTGAAGGGTCAGTGCTGGTAGTCTGAAGCAACTGGAGAGAAACATCCAAAGGTGATGGTAAAGACCAGTGCTCTTCCAAAGAAGCAAAGGAAAGACTTCCTTCTTTCTCTTTTTATTCCACCAAGGCTACAAGCCTGTTATGGCTGTGTCTAGATATTCCCCCACCAAAGTCTCATGTCGTCATAGGTGGGGCTTTTCAGAGGTGGCTGGATCTAGGATGTGTGATGCTGGGATCAAGGATGTGATGCTGGGATTGATTCAGGGTATGAAGCTAGGATCAAGGTTGCCCCATTCAGGGTGCGAGTGCTACTCTCCCTAAGTGTGGGTAGTCTGGATAAAATATAAGAGACAAAAAGAGTGTCATTGCTTGCTGCTTGTTGCTTCTGCCTGCCAAGATCTGTTTCTCCTCTGTGATGCCCACTGCCATGCCACCCTGCCTTAGAGCCAGCCAACTGTGAACTGAAACCTTTACAAACTGGGAGCCAAAATAAACCTCTCCTCATTTGAGTGTCAGGTATTTTGTCTCAGCAAGGAGAAAAGTAACTCAGACAAAGCCTATGTATTGGTTGGTACAACCCACATCCAGGGTGGGTCTTCCCTCAGCTTGTAGCCTACATGTCAACCATCCAAGGACACACCTGAGTTTTATTAATCTAGACAGTTCTTACTCAAGAAAGGTTTACATGTCACAATTAATGATCACAGGAGGTGATGTTTGGGGTGAGTCCTCACAGTGACCAGGTATTTGGCTTCCATATACTGAAAGCTCTCACATCCACCTCGGATGCATGTGCTGCAGACTTCTTTTTCTGCAGTGGTGATTATATGCCTGTCACCTGCTGTGGCCTCTTGCTTCCCTGTCACCTGTCTCCACTCCTTTTAGGAAGAATACTCCTCCCACAGTAGGGGGACTTTTCAAATACAGAACAACAAACCTAGTCTTATCTTACTCCCTTGGAAAGTTTGTGAGAATTATAAGGTTCAAAACTTTGTTAAGAGTGAGGCACAAGGCTGGATAATCACTGATGTTAAATGCATCATCTTGGTTTTATTTCATTTTCACCCTCAGCCATGTGTTGTCATCTTGGGGATCTCTTTGGTGAAAGTTAGGGCCCACTGATGCTCATGGGGGTCTGTGAGTCCAGAGCCCTTCACTTCCCTCAGTCATACTTTATGAATCATGTAAAATTATACTCTTTTGTCCCCTATAACTGGAGAACAAAGAGGGATCATCCTGGATTTTCCTTCCCCTCCACCCAGATCTGCTGTTTCCTGAGGTTCTGTCTTCTCTCTGGTGTCTTCCTTGGCTTGCATATTGTGTCTATTCTGGAGACCATTCCCTGGAAAGGAAGCAAATAGAGGTCAACAGTGATATTTTTCTACATGGTAAATGCTTTTAATTCCATATTCATGGTGGATTGAAAATTAGTTGGATATATATGTTGGGTTGGGAAGTATTTTGAGCAGACATTGTTTTCCCAGAATTTTGGTGGCCTTGCTCATTTCCTTTCAAGCTCCATTTCTATGTCGCCAATGAAAATATGAAGCTACCATGATATTTAATTGATTCATGTAACCCATATTTTTTTCTCTGGGAGCTAGTGTTATTTAATCTCCATCCCAGTGTTCTAAAATTCAATTTCCTTCCATTTGTCTTGTCTTAGTCACTTTTCTCATCTCTGGGACAAATACCCAGCATCTGCAACTTAAAAGAGGAGAGCTTTACTTTGGCTCACATGTACAGCCACAGTTGGCTGGCCCCAAGGCAGAATGGCATGGAGGAGGAGAAGTTGCTCACCTCAGTGGTTAGGAAGCAGACAGAGAATGAAGGGAGGAGCTGGTAGGGAGATAAACCCTTCTGGGCCACACCCCAGGTACGCTCCTCTTCCAACCTTACCTCCTGACAGCAAGTCAGCTGCAAACCCCATGATCCAGTCACCTTCCAAAAGTCCTGTCTATAAGCACATGAAGCTTGAGGGCTATCTTTTGTTTTTTTTGTACTGGGGATCAAATTCAGGGCCTTGTGCTTGCGAGGCAGGCACCAGAACCACTGAACTAAATCCCTGGCCCGTGAGGGACATCTTAATATAAACTATAGCAAGTTTGCACTGAAAATCTGATGGATTCTTATCATCCAGACATTTCCCTCAGTCCTGGGAAATTTCTCACTGTTATTCCATTGATTTTTTCCTTCACCATGTTCTGTGTGGGAACAACTATTATCTTTTCACTGGACTAATCCTAAAAATCAGTTCCACTTTCTGGGGTATTTCTTTATTTTACTTCTAAATTTTCCTTTGAGGATTCCACAAAAACCATTCCGGGGATGGAATTGAGGACCTCCCTCTTTCTTTCTTTCTTTCTTTCTTTCTTTCTTTCTTTCTTTCTTTCTTTCTTTCTTTCTTTCTTTCTTTCTTTCTTTCTCTCAAATTGGCTTAACTACTAAATACTTAGTGTGGACATCCCCTGAGCAATGTATAAAAAGTGTAACTTTACAGATCAAAGACTGGTTTGCAACAGATTGGTTTAATCACCCTAGAGTTAGATGGGAAGCCCCCAAAGGCACTCATTGGTCCTGTGGAACCAATTTGTGGCCCTGGCCACACCCCTGGATGTTAAGGGAGGTGCACACTGGGATTTGTGGGGTCACAAGGCGAGAGTGTAAAAAGTATCCACAAATTTGCAAACATCTCATCTATAACTTCGATGGTCTGGAAGTGTGTTTCACTGGTATGATCATTTGGCTTCTATCTGTATCCCTTCCCTATGATTAGAGATTGTCATGCAACACATTGAGGTCTTTACTAACTATACTCAACAGGCCTTAAAAGACACCTTAGTTTGGTCTCTCTCTCCTAAATGAAACAGTACAATGAATAAGTGAAACCATTTCCAAAATTCGATGGCATTAGGCATCCTGACAGTAGAAAAGGGGGTTATTTGTGTAATTGTAAAAGTGGAATGTTGTGTGTAGATTCCTGATACTTCTGCACATATCTCAATGGGTGTTCAAGATAGTAACAACAGGCCAAGGCCATGTCAAATTCTGAGATTCCTTGTACCTTCTTTTTAACATTTTTGTAGAAGGCTATTATTGGCTCTTCTTGGTGGAAACATTTGTTGGTTATATTCATACTAGTCTCATCGATCTTACTGTTTGGCCCATAACTTAACTGTTTCTTTGGCCTTGTATCCTCCAGACTGAAGGCTATATGCCTACCTATGACAAGAATGCCTGACATCTATGGAGAGCCTTTAGAAAAACTCTCTGGAGAGTATCTCTGATTGCCAATCACAATTACCACCCCCTTCAGCCTGAAGTAGCCAGAAGAGTCATTGCCTCTTGCCTCCTCATGGCAGTTCTGGATACGTCTGCAGAGGGTGGAAGATTATAGACAGCTAAGCCAGCTAGAAATATTCGAGGCAGCCAGATAAGGATAGGCCCTCAAGAGAGTCAGGATAAAGGCGAAAGACATCATAACTGTGGCCAGAGACACATTTGTTGGAGACCAGGCCTCAAGACAATGACCATGTCTGCATACTTCCTCAAAAGACAAACACTGGGCCTAATAAAGTCTAGGTAGACATCAGTCACCCAGTAGGTGACCAGGACCTCTAGACCCATCATTTCCTAGAAAGCAGTCTTTGTTCTTTCCATGCACCTTTGTTAGGTGCCTTGTTTCCCCATGAGATTACTATTACCTAAGTGATTATACTTATAATCTTATTCGTTAGTCATAGCTGTAACCCACACTGTTCTCATGTGAATTTTGCTCTAGAAAACTTCCCTATAAAGTGGGGTCCCTGGTTACCCATTCAGGACCCCTCCTGTCTCTCAGGAGGTATCTTCTCAAAAATATTTTACTACTCTTAATCTCCATTGTATCTAGAATTCTTTCTTTGATTTTTAGAGAACATGAACTCAGCATATCAGACATCTAACAAGTTAGGAGATAGAATATTTTCATATTTCATCTCCTGTATCAATATCACCTTGTAGCAATTTGCTGGTATCATTAAATTATGTCTAGTGAATTAATGTCATAGTAACTTGAGGATAAAATTTATGGAGAATTTTCCAAACTTGCAGGTACATAACCAATGTTAAAATATTATTTTATAAAATGTTATATTCTGTGTACATACATTATACACTATGCACATGACATTAAATTATTTATCAAAGTCATCAACATGTTTATTCAGGATTTATGTTTTCTTTTTCTTGATTTGATTTTTAGTGGCTTCTCTGAAGTAAGTCTGATATAAAATTAACAGTATAAAACAAAATCATATAAATTGATAAATATCAATGTGGTCCTCTAAATTTTCTTTCTGAATTTGCTGTGTAATGCCTCGTTCCTGCTTCTTCTTGGCCCTGGTCTATCCCCACAAAATCAGTGATGTACGTCCTGTCTTTCAGAGGTTGACACTGGGTAAGAGCTCTAGCTTTTGTGAATATGATTGGAACAGTGGCCTCTGTTTCTTCAAAGAGAGTAATAGTATTAAATTATCTGTTATGACTTGTCAACTAATGTAACAAAGTAAATGTTTCACAGAAAAATCATAGCTACATATATTTCAGCAATCCAACAGAAATTCAAAGAATTTGCTTAAGTGAAGTGAAATTATCACCAGTGAACATTTATTGTCTTTCCCACCTGGATGTGAACCACTTGATCATTCGTTTTTCAGTGCTCATTAGCACCAAAGGACATATTGTGGCATAGCCATTGCTCACAAACATCTGGACACAATGATGAATTGGGCTTTTGTTCCACAATATTGCAGAGGAGGAAAAGGTAATACAATCAAAAAAGTACATAAAGATAAAGAAACCCATGAGCAGCAGAATGGTCTGAGTGGCTTTTTCTTCTGGGGATGCCTTTGGAGAAAGGCTGGTGCTGTAAAGATGTTGGAACTGCCTCTTATGCCTGAACAAGAGCGTCACCATGTATCCACTTGAGACAGCCATCAGGCCTATAAAGGAGATATCCTGAATGTTTGCCAATGTTAAAAATATGTACCTGAACAAGTAACTAATTGGCCAGAGGGAGCAAGATTCAGTGACAAACATGAGACTGTGTGAAGTCACATTGGGGTTGGCACCAATGGAGACTAAGAAGCGACCGTTCAGGAGCATATTGAAGACCCATAAAAAGACAAGGCAACGTGGGTAGTGATGTGTGGATTTGTGTTTGAACTTTGCCAAGTAAGAGTTCCTGGGGCTGAGGGTGATGGCCTGGAGGACACTCAGCAGGCAGGTGGTACAGATGGAGAGGGCCCTCATCAACCTGTACACATAGATAACTGATTTACATGTGAGATCATTCTCCCAACCCTGAAACCCAAAAGTGTCTGTAGCTATGAACACCAGGGTTACCAGCATCATCAGGTGGATTAGGGCCAACTGACCAATAGTCAGGTCCAGGGGCTTGGGCCTGTGCTTGAGAAGAAATGCGAGGATGTGGAACAGAAGCAGGGCAGTGTTGGCTATGATCCCAATGGTGACTTCAAAGAAAACTGTGTTTCTTATGCCTGAAAGACTGGACAAGTTTTTCTTTTTATTCACCTTGATAGAGAAAGAATAACAATACATGTCTGAGAAAAAAAGGAGAAACATTCACAAAAATCACCACCATCGTCAATCTCAGTCAACATTGTGCCTTTATCAGAACATGTGAATTGCTCCCTGTGCGTTCTTTCTCCTTCGAACTCACACCTACCTGGATGCACCACTGTTCTCTCCCCTGTCTCAGTGCTTCCCAGTGGGGGCTGTATTACGTGTTTTATTTCTGGCTTCCCATAGCAACTCTGTAAGGAGACTGTCATATAGTACAGAAGGTACTTCCTCATTTTGGTCTCATTTTTTTGTTTTCAGAATGGAACACAATATTTTATATGTCCAGAAAGTAGATGAGGTGCTGGATATGTTGTAAGTCCTTTACCTTTTATAGTAAAATTTGGGAAAAGAGAATTGCCCGTACCATATATGAAAATAAAATTCTCCCAAGTAATAATTATTGACAGGATAGACATGCACAGGTATGTTCTTTCTGTGCTATCTTTACTCTGGTTTATTGTCAGAACAAATATTTATAGAGAAAATGTTGCTTAGTAGATTCTGGAGACAAGTGACTCCAATTTACATCTCTGGTCTGACATTTATCAAATGCAGGATGTGGAAAGTTAGTTAATGCATCTGAGCCACAGTAGCCTGATGTGAAAAATGTGGATAATTATATCACTTCTTACCTAGAGATATTATGTGTACACATGTAGCAAATATGGTATGACAACGGAATGTCAGTTATTATTGTTGTTATTGCATAGCTCCTTATACGTGTAACTTGAGAAATTTGACTCAATATATAAAATAATCCACCACAAGTGTGCCAAAAAGAGCAAGGAGAAATGAATGCCAAAGTACTAGACTTTAAAAAATTTCCATGTATAAGGCGCAAGAAATTAAGTAGGCTGTTTTGGAAATTTCCACAACTATACCGCTCATGTATTTTAGAAACTCATGCCAGTAAATGTAAGACTCAGCCATCATAGTGGAGGTATTACTATCAGGATGACACATTCCATATTTCATTTCACTCCATCACAAGCATGTGGAATGAGATTAATAAATGCTACCACATTTCAAGGAAATTGTGATGATTCTTTCCTAGTGTTTTAATTAGATCAATGGGATACATTTCAACCCTCAAGGTGGTTCAACATTGGTCCAAAATTTTATGACTTCTTGAAGCCAGAAAGTATAATTCTGCAGAGCTGTGGGCTCAAGTGTAGATTTTATACTGAAGAATTTGGTGAATGCCAACTTGTAGAGTATCTCCCTGTGTGATGCATCTATTTGCTTTAATTGAGGTATAATTTGAGAGTCCTAACATGGTAACATGGGCACAGGCACATATTCTCACAAATTTATCATCTGAACATCATAGATTAAGATTAGATTTGCACAGCTACTCAGAACATATGTTTTAAAAGTAACTGAGAGGAACCTGAAATATTTATGCACCATGAACTAATGATCACATTGAAGCATTCAGAGGTAAGTGTACTTGGTGTAAATCCTATGAAGCTTTGGTTTATAAAATAGAAATTTCTTAGTCAGAATTAGAAAAATGTAATATTTTCCAAAGTAGTGGTAAAGTGACACAATTTTCTCCATTTATGCAGTCAGCAAATTAGAGTTTGTTTCTGTTACATGATGAGGTATGACATAAAAAAAATACACATCTGACTATCAGGTGGCTCTGACTCTTGTAGATCATGTGCTGCCACTAAGTGCACTTCCTCAATGGTCTTCTTGGTCTTTCATGTACTTAAAAATAAGAGACTTTTATTTCCTGTACACCTATTTCATGTAAGTTACAAAATGTATACTGATAATATTTGAAAGAAATAACATTAGTTTGGTTCACAACATCATTTAAAGATAATATTTTAAAAGAATTACTTGAAAAAATAAAATATAAATCATAAATTTGTCTCCTCATTTTATGACTGCAAAATTAGGCCTTTGCTTTAATTATGTTTCTAAAAATTTAGTCTGGCATATAACTTTTAAAACTGGTCAAGTAGCATGTTTGAATCATCCATAAACAGAGGTCTAGAAATGCATTATTTTCACCATTGCTTAAGAACTATGGTCCTCCAAGCATAGAGTGAGGTGGGAGAAAAGTGCAGATGCAGTTTACTCAACATTCAGGATGTCAGAGGAAGCCTGGGTCCTTACCTGAAATTGACAAGCTCTTTTAGAGCAGAAGAACAATCTCCTTTCTCCAGAGCATTAATCCAGGAAAGGGCTGCATTCATGAGCACTGACTGACATTATTAATTCCCATGGAGCATCAGAAAGATGAAAGAACATAAGACCAACCATCCATCTATCTCCAAATTTTGTGGATCACACAAAACTACATTACTAAAACACACTCTAAACATCATTGCCCTATATTTGTCCATAGACGTTACACAGAAAGGTATAAAGCTCTTTCTGTAGTAATATTTTACTAGAAAATACATTCTGGAGAATGTGACACATGAAAACAGGCTAATAGAAATGGCCTAGTAGTGTGCCCCCTCCATGCCAGGCCTCATTCAGCTCATACCTACCAGGCTCAGCACAGCTTAGGGGAAAGGGGAACAGGACAGCAATCCATCCATGAACAGAGTGAGGTAGTAGACACCCTTCAAATATGGCTCTTAGTAGGGACAGTGCTGAGCTATGACCTGGCTCACCCAAGACATCAAACACAAGGGCATCACTTCAAACATGGGACAAAACTAGCTGCCCTCATTGTTATCTGCCTGTCACATAGGATGAAATGATGTGTAGTGATAAGATTTATGCCCAGAACTTAGCCAGGTTAAAAAAATAAATGAATAAATAAATATCAGTGGGAAAGTAACATAGAAGAAAATCTAAAATAGATTATACTTTGAAGGCCATATCAAGAAAAAGAAAAGATGGGCCAAAAGGGGAGCTTATGGAAAATGAAATGTAAATGTAGTAAGAAATGTCAAAGAGAAAATTCTGTGCTAATTTTGAGACAATAACCATTGGGAGCTCTCATAACTCGCAGTAAAGCCTGCAATACCTCTGAGAAATACAGGACAGTTCAAAACAGTTCTCTGATGAAGGCAGAATTCTCCATCAACACAGTGTTATCTTGCAGTTACTGAGACTAGAGACAATCCTGTGATACATGGTGTCATCAGGGGGTTTAGAAACCCACCCAGAGGTCAGGAGAGACCTGGACTACAGTGAGAGGGAGGGCCTCAGTAGACACCCAGCAAATGTGGGCACTTATGGCCTTCAAGTTGGACAAATTAAAATGAGGAAAAGGGCTACATACTTGATTTTTCATCAGCAACATGAACATAATCTGTATATCACACAGGATGAGATGATGCATAATAACAGGATTCATGACCAGCACTTAGCCAGGTGCCTTAGAGGCATGAGAGAGTGTACTTTGGCTGTTGTCCCTGTACTTTATAGGCCACCATCACTGTCATGGCCACCAACATTGCCTGTGTATAATTTAAGGTAAAATAGGAAAAGGTCCTGTGAGCTGAGATTCTTCATGAGCAAGGAATTGGGTTAATTTTGTAAGAATACAATTCCACATGCTCAAATTTTGGCAGAATTTGAGCTGAAGAACTACAGAAAAAGAAAGACAGTGAAAGAACAGAACAAAGAAGGCAAAAGAATCATGAGCCAGATAGACAGTCTCAGTTCATGGCACAGCTCTGGTGAGGTGCATGGATCTAGGAGAAGGAAGAGAAAATCAGAGAACTATTTGAGAACATGTACGACAGCCATGTACTTTTAAAAATGCAGTAACATTACATTTTCTGCCCATTTAAAAGATGCTAATAGATACATCTTGGTGCTCACTTATCCCTAGCTACTTATAGAATTAATATGTTTACATCTATTTTCATAAAGATCAGGAGAAGATAATTACTATTCCAAAGTAAAGTAAAAAAAAGCAGAAAAATCCCAGAGACACATCATCAAAAATATGAAGCTTTCATCCCTCACAAATACTCAGAGCCCCAGGTGAGCCTCTCCAATCAAATCTAGAGAGAATGAACGACAATCTTGTGTTTTGCAAAAGTTTTCAGATCCCTTTGTCTTCATATCTTTGAATTACCTTAACAAGAAACAAGCATAGTTAACATTTATCTGCTTGTAAAATACTTAACCCTTGTGGTGTGTGTCTAACACACACACAGAACAGATGAAAATATTGGGTTCTAAGTCTTTCTCTATTGAAAGTGGTTCTGGCACATCCACTATGAATCAAAGATGAAATATTTTTAAAATCAAGAAAAGTAGAGAAAATAATCATGAGACATATTTTTTCCTCTCAACAAATGCTAGTACATTATATTCTATGACCTAAACTAGAAACACAGGAAAAGTCTCCAACATCATCAGTTTGTTGTACTTATCAATGAAATTGCAGTCCAAATTTCATTGTTATCTGATATGCAATTTACGTGACGTTTGTAAAATGAACACTGGATCAAGCAATCTCTCTGTGAGGAAATGATCACATCTATTTTGTAACAAAGAGGTTAAATTTTCCTTCAGAGCTGATACTTTACACGAGGAACTTTATTGCATACTACATAAAAATTTATTCAAATATTTTAATTTATACACATGAGAGAAGAGAAACTGAGTCTGTATCATGAAAAGCCAAAGTGAAATTTTATCTGATTCACAAGAGGTATAAATGCAAATAGAAAAGCTGCAGATTAAAGTGACAATATCTTCCTTGAGAAATGATATAGGTAGTAAACATTAGTTCAGAATAATAAACACATGCCTGAAATTAATTTAGTCATTTTTATGAAAAATATATTAACTTTATGAGTCACAAATTAAATGCTAACGGCTACAAAAACTGAGTCTACAGAAACCTCAGGCAAAGTCCACTGGCCTCCTTCCATTGCCTGTTTTGGACTCTGCTCACCCAGACTCTGCATCTGTGGACAGACAGGCACTTACCCACGGGGGCATGTTGGGTATCTGGTGCTCCCAAGAAAACCATACACAGCTTTAATAAAATGAGGTCATTAGCTCACCTCTCTGCAGACGTGTCATTTTAGCATCTATAGAAAGGTGACAAGATCCCATTGGGGAGGACAATCTACAGAGTCCTCTATGGAACACTTCACCTCTCCCTCTGGATTTTACTATTCTCTCTCCTGTGCTCAAACTTTCCTCAAAGTTCTCTTGACACATCTGTCTGAGGGATCTGAATGGTCACATCAAATGGACCTCACTATGCTCTCTTCTTTCAATCCTAAATTCAGATTAGTCCAAATGCATTGCAAATTCATGCAAACCCAGGGCAAACTCCTCTGGTGTGAGAGATTCCTGGCTCCTCCCAAGAGTTCTCATTGGCTCTGAGGCTCCTGTCTCCAGGAAGTGTAACAGGCACACTCTTCTTCTGTCTGTTCTCACATGGAGCACTTGGTTACAGGGGAGTACTGGCTGTGGATTTTGTGTGTTGCAAGATTTCCAAATTCTTAGTTTCAGGTTTAAAGCTGAGTCAAATTTCAATGTGAATTTTTTTTTTTCATAAGAAAGTACTTTATTCATGACTAAAACATTAATTTGTTTCTAGAAATTTTATTTTGGCAAAATAAGGGTGTAAATATAATCCCTTTCATCGTTAGGAAGACATTAAAACATGTTACTTTAATATGGTCACATTTTAAATTAAGCAAGATTACTTTTGAAGAACTGCAGAATACACCAAGTAAAACTATTCACTTTTTCTTTCTACTGCAATATAGTATATCTGATTTTGTAACCTATGAGCCAAAAACAGTATTGTATAAATTCAAGAGAAAAGTTTCTTCCTTGAAGTATGAGAATGCATTTCAGCAATAAACTTATGATCGTTTCTACCTTCATGTTATTTGGAACAAATCAACACATTTCCTGTTAATACTTGCATGATGCAGCTGAACTCTTGATGTTTTCACTACCTGCTGTATCCTCGTCCATTTCTCTTGCCTAAATGCTGTTGTATTTGACACTCATCTTACATCAATTCTTTATGAAATTTTTCTGATTTTTCTCAACCAGATTTGATCTGATTGAGATCTCTCTACCATTATAACTATATAAATAATTTCCTTACCTGATTCCTGGTATTTTTTTCTCTTATAGTTTTCACTTTGTATTGTTTTTTCTTTTAGATTTTGTTTTTAAGTGAATAAATTATGTTTTAATTTCCTATGCCTTCCGTATAGTACATGTCTCAAAACCTTATATAAAATGGGAACTCTAAATATTTATTAGATTGAGAGTAATGAGTCACAGATATATAAAAAAATTGATGTACTACATTCTTTAGCACCTACCTGGAAAGTATATTTTACAATACACACAAAATTACAACTTAAAAATAGAAGTTATATGGTTTTCAAATGGTCTTGCTTTATCATAGGCCTTTCCTAATGTGATCTATTTACACCAACTGGAACACTCTATTTTAAAAAATTCAGTGGAAAGTTCCAAGAATTCTTATTGTAGGAACTCTAGTAAAAAAGGAAATAATGTTCAAATCAAAAGTACTGAGATGAAGTATAAAGTAACACAGTCATTAAGATTATATTAAATAGGGCCTCGAGATTTAGCTCAGTGGTTCCAGAGCCTGCCTTGCAAACGCAAGGTCCCGAGTTCGATCCCTGGTACCAAAAAAAAAAAAATATTATATTAAACAAAATGAAATATAGTTTAAATTTTGAAGAAGACATTAGAAATAAAACTATTGTGAATCACTTAGGGTATTTAATGTCTTAAATTTGATTCCTAAGTAAACAAGGGGAAATTATAACAACTCCTCTCTGTACCACCTCTGGAGTAAGACTTCAATTTTGAATATTTGTAAGATGTTAATATTCTTGCATCTATTATATTAAACACAAGGATATATTGAATATGCACAAGTT